CACATGAAAGTAAAGTATTAAAAATAGAGAAAACTGTTGAGAGTAGGAAGAGGGTATGATGTGTTTTCTGTTCAGTTTTCTGTAAATCTAAAAATGTTCAGAGGGGGAAAACTCCTTTCGTTTAAAAAGGAGGGGAAACAACAATGAATGATTTTTTTTAAGTGAACTGAGGGAGGGGTAAAATGTGCAACATTCCATTCATTAATCAATGAAAATCTAACTTCCCTGTAAACGTTAAAATCACAATTAAAATAAAATTTTATTAAAAATAGAAGGAGAGGGGAAAGGTGCAGAGAGGTGAAGTCACTTGCCCGAGGCCACACAGAAAAGGCTTGGCAGGACAGGCCTTCTGGCTCCTAACCTTACATTCTTTCCACTGCCCTGCCCTGCCGCCTGCTCAGACGCCCATCTCTGCACACCCCATCCCAGGTTCTAAACAGGTGTTTCTAGTCTTTGTTTCAGAAGCCCCACAAAGCTGCCTGCCCCATGCTGGACCAGGTCCACTCATCAATCTCCCACGCAGACAGGGATGCTGTGCCCCTCCCAGAAGCTTCCACTGTGGCCAGCTGGATATTCATCAGTGAGGCAAAGCAAGGGTTAACAGCATGAACTAATATTTAGAAATAGCACAAACACAGGCGAGTCAGCTGTGGCCAGCTGGTCACAGCTACCAAAGACATGAGCCTTTATGGACATAGTGTGGAAGACCAGAGCCAGCTCCAAGAGAACAGAGGGTCCAAGAGAGGCCTCCACATCCCCAACTCCTGTCATCCAGCCCAGCTCAAGCACGGATTGTAGCCTGCCCCTGGCCACACAGAGCCCTACCACTGGTGTTCTGTCCACAGCTGGCTCCCAGGGGCAGCAAGCAGAACTTTGCAGCTCCCGAATTGTGTAATTATTGGGAGGAGCATCTCCCTTCCTTCCAGAGCCTGGCTGCTGGCACTTGGAGAAGCCCCACAAATGCTTACAGCCAGAAGCAGGAGCAAGATCACTCCTAGCTGAGGTCTTCCACCTGGGGTCCAAGGCTGAGACCCAAGCCTGGGAGCTGAGCTGAGGAGATCTTGACTACAGGGGTCTGAAGCCCAAGTCTCTCCCATAGTTGTAGCCCAGGCTCAGTGTCCTTCATAGCAGAGGGTTAATTCCCTAAGGACAGGGCCTGGGTGTCTGGAATGCACCCCTGCTGGGGCACACACCCTCCCATCTCGGGCACAGCATACACCATTTACCGGCAAGCTGGCTTTGGCCACAGGCTGCTTGGGTGGGGCCCAGTGGTCAGGGAGTAAAACACAGCTGCATTCAGTGTGCCAGGCCCAAGATCAGGCCAAGTCACAGCTTCTGTCAGAGCGAGCACTCAGTTCAGGAGGCCCCGTGGGTGACAGCACCCAGGAGTACCCTCAGCACGTTTGGCTGAGCCCTACTGGCTGGGAGGGGGTGTTACAGGGCTGTCATTGTCTTTTCCTCTCAGAAGCAGATAACGTGGAGAACCTGAGGTAGCACACACCACAGGTAGCTTCACCAACGTCTGAGCTCTCTTTTCACCCCTCTTCTGCATCCTTTTATCTTAAGGTGTATTCTCAGTCTCCCTCCTCCCCCACTCCAGTCTACCCTGTCCTGTGCTTTCCCTGGAAGGGTTCAGGGGAGTAGACACCCCCAGTCTAGGCGCCACAACACCTGAGCCAGTTAGAGAGTCCAGGAGACACTGGGAGTACTACAGAGATCAGTCCTCCCAGAAGCCCACTGCAGGAGAGGCAGACCAGGAGGGCTTCCTGGATGAAAGTCATTTCTTCTTGTCTGAGATGTAGGGGCAGTCAGGAGTGGTCCCCAAGGACACCCTGCCAGCACAAGCCAGGAAAATCATGGCAAAGGTCAGAAAGCAAAAGGGTAAAAGCCAGAGCCAGCCTGAGGATGCCAGGTCTTCTCAGGACTGGGCCTCATGGGAGTCTGCTAAGGAGGCTGGGAGGGGACCATGGAGGAGCAGGCACTGGCCATTCTTTGCTCTGAGACAGTGGGTGATGTCTGGAATGAGCTCCAGGACAATGTCAGGGCATTGACTTCTGCCAGTCAGCCTGGCACGATGACACTCCACAGCAGTCAGAGTTCATGCCCTGGGCTGCAGGGCTGAGCAAGGGCCAGGTCCCCAGAAACACTTTTACCCTGAGAACCTCAACTTTCTCATCTGTGAAAAGGGAACGCTGTCTCCCAACACACATACTCCTCAGGGTTGTCAAGAGACTAGCTGACTGTTTTGTAAACTGGGACGCTCCGGCAGAGAAGCGCGCGGTTATGACTGCCCGCCCGCTGGTTGCCATTATTTTTTCCAGGCCTGTGTTTCTCTCCCCAGTTAGCAACGAGGCGGGAGGGGGCTCCCCACTAATCCACACTTAACTCGGCTGTGGGCGGGAACTCCCTGTCTGGATGCTACACACACAAACGACTTTTGGAGGCAATGGTTCTGTGGGTGGGAGCAGGGAAGATGGGTGAAGAGGTGGGGAGAGTGTTTCCACCCAAGTTTTTGATTCATAAAAAAAGCAAGGCTTCCCCTCCCTTCTCTCTTCATTCCTAAAAAGAAAGAGGCTCTTTTCCTCCAAACATAGCCTTCCAAGAAGTTCCCCCAACCCTGCCTCCAGCCCTGAAAGCCCACTCTTGGCCAGTAATTAGTCCCTAACGAGGACCAGGTGCCTTGCTGACTGAAAAGTAGGAAAAACAAGGGACAAATGTGGAATCAATGGCTTTATTGCCATTGAGGCCAGCTGGGCAAAGCTCCAACTCCGGCCGCCTGAGGTGACCAGATGGGAGTACCCAGGTCTGCTAAAATCCCCTCAAAACACCAGCAACTGACTTCTTAGGCCCAGCAGGCATTTATTAAGCACTTACTGTATGCAGCTGCATCTGGAGGGGAATGTTCACTATTTGGCCCTCAAAGGGCTGACATTCTACCAAAGGAAGGAGAAGTGAGTGCAAACTGTGAACACTTTAAGGATGTCAGGTTGATAGGGAAGAGAGGGATAAATATTTATTGACTATTTATTCCGTAGGCTGACCTGGACTTGGTACTTTCATTTTCACAAACCTTGTTTCACCAAGGGAAGCTCTGATGGGCCTACCCCATAGCGAGTCGTGCTATGTCCAACCCAAAGGCTTGGGTCCACTAGCAGCTCCAAGGGAGAAAGTAGGATAATTTCCTCTGCAATTCATGGAGCTCGGGTGAGAGGATGAACAATCACTTCCTGCCCCATTAACTGTCTCTGAACACCCTCTGGATGGTCAGCTGTTAGTCAGCTCTGACTCCACAGCACACAACAAGGAGAGAGCTAGTGGTAAGAAGTTGCACTACAAGCAGGTGGTTCAAATCCACCAGTTGCCCTGTGGGAGAAAGATGGGCAATCTCCTCCCATACTATTCACTGCCTCTGAAAACCTGCTGGAGGGTCAGCTGAGTCAGTTCTGACTTGACAGTACGCAACAACAACATGTGATTTACAGTCTACAAAGCCTGCTGGAGGGTCAGGTAGGAGTCTTCAGTTTAGGCTTTATGGCAATGAGAGAATTTTACAAATGAGGAAGCTGAGCCACAGAAGTGAAACAACTTCCTCGAGGTTGGACAGCTAAATTCAGATTTGAATCCACATCTGTCTGGGTTCAAGAACAGTCCTGGTAGCCACCACACAGACCCTATACCACCCACTGCACTGAGGAAGCAACAGTACTGGGCTTGGGATCAAACATCTGATTCTGCTCCTCAGCAGTGCTGCAGATGTAATCAAGTTCCTTAACCCCTCTCGGTCTTGGCTTCTCCATCTGCAAAACAGACAGGGCTCAGTATCATGGCTAAGAAGAGCACTGTATACACATTATAGACCTGTCATCGGCCAAAGGGAGGAAGGAATTGGAGTGTGGATGTAGTGTGAGGGGTGACCTGCAGCAGACCAGCGTCAGTGGAGGGATCCGGGTGAAGACGGTGCATGGACACCCAGAGGTGCCTTCTACCCATTTGCTGGATAGAGAAACGAAGGTTAATCGAGAAACCAGCACTGAAACTGGGCAGAGCTGGGTGTTTGAAGCTCTGCAGTTAACAGCGCCCTTTCTCCTTCTGTTAGGACGAGGCTCATGTCGCCAGGGAAGGAGCAGGAAGGAGAAGGGCCCCAGCCTGAGAGCTGTTAAGGTAGGAGCTAAATCCAGGGCCAGAATTCCAGCCAGCAGCCCTGGAAGTTGAAACTCTCGCATTTAGAGACAGGAGACTGGGAGTTCCTGGCTCCGAGTGGCCAGAGACCAACTCCTAAACGGGGGTCTTGTAAGAACCACTGGCAGATCTGAGTCTCAGTTTCCTTCTCCATAAACTGGAAGAGGGCGCCTGGCTACCTCATTTCCAAGGTTCTTTTGAGACGAATGAAACCATGGAACTGAGAGCCCCTCTGTGGAGAAGTCCAGATCATCTCTCCTTGGCAGACAGGAAAGACTAAGTCCTGTGGGACGGCAGAGGTCAAGGTCGCAGTATTCGGCAGTCCTCCCCACTGGCATCTTGTCATAGCAACCTAAATGCAGCCCGTGGGGTGGGCGGGCATCTGCCCTTCTTTCTAAGCCAGTAGTGTTGCCCCATCCGGCAGAAAGAGGAGAGAGAGGGGCCCATCTCAGGCCTCCTCCCTGAGAGGTCTCCAGAAGTCTTTGGGTCAAAGCTGCGGGGGGTTTGTACCCATGACCTTCTGCTCAATTTACTCTGGGATTTCTGCTCCAAATCAGACTTGGGGGCCCCGTCCCCACTGTCCCAGGAGGAGCGGCCCAGCACTGGCCCTTTAAGGAGGTGGGAGGAGGTAGTGGGGGGGCGAGGTTGGGGGGTGCTGAAACCCGAGCGTCGGTGCCGCCCCGCCCCCCGAGCTAAGTACAGCGGCCGCCCCGAGCCCAGCCTGCGCCCGTGGAGCCTCGCGCTCTCTGCTTCGGCGAACTCACTCGGCTGCCTGCTTGGCGCGGCGACTCTCAAGTCCAGCTGCCCAGCCCGCCGGCGCGATGCGCTCCGGCCCACGGCCCCCGCCTCCAGTCCCCGTCCTGGCCCTGGCTTTGACCTTGGCCGTGCTGTTGGACCCTGCATCCACAGGTGAGTGAGAGGTCCGAGTCCCCCAGCCCCGCCTGGCGGGAACTGTGTCCCACTCCAGGCCGGGATCTCCAAGGGTTCGACTCCAGAGTGGACGCGGGGCTCCACCAAAGGCTCAAGATCCCGCCTGGTTTTCCTAATTCTGGCCATAGGGCTGTGGGTGCCCTGCACGCGTGGCCCGGGGCGCTGGGTCCGACTGCCTAGGGCGTGGCACTGCGCGCGGATTGTGTCCCGGACTCGCAGCGCACCCTCACCAACGCGTCAGAGACTACGAGCACTCTATGCATCCCTTAGCGCCCAAAAAACACCCCATGACAGGAGAGAACACGTACCCCTGCTTCAAGAGCCCCAGGACAAGCATGGGGTGGGGTGGTGCCAGGGCGGCAAATGGAGAGGGACCCACCCTGCCTCACCCTACAACAAATCCCAAATACACTGCCTCCTCTTGCAGCCTTTCCCAAGCCCTGATCCTACTGCTTCCTTCCTTATTACTAGTTGTCTGATGTCTGGCTGACCTTTGTCCACCACCATCTCTGAAGTCCTGTCATCCTCCCCTTCTCTCTCCTCCCTGACAGAGGCTCTTGTATCCTTTCTATCCTATTCTCTATCCTTCCACCCTTCAGTCAGCAGGAACTTGTTCCTCAGACAGTTTTGGGCGACCCCCTGCCTCTCCTTCCTGGCCCTAGTGTCAGTTGCCTGACTCCACTGGAGACTGAATGAAAGTCTGCAGGGCGCTAGGCTATGGCCCCCACTCTGTCACGGTGCCAGAAAGCCTACCATTACCACATTCTTCCTTTAGTTAGGGCATGGTCTAGTTATGCCGTAAGAACCTTGGCCTCAGGGCCCATCAGTCATTACTACCAATGTATGAATCAGTGCTTCAGCCTACATCTTTGGGCTGTTACCAAAAGTAACTGAGCAGTTGAGGGGCCTGAATCTCCCTTGCAGGGGCAGGGGCCACACCCTGCTCCCCATCAGATGGGGAAGCCACTTCTAATGGAGGGCATCACGAGGTACTCGGAAAGGAAATGAGTCAGTGCTGGATCCACAGCCTCTCAACTCCTGTCCCCCCAGGACCCTACTCCCTAATATCTGAGTAACAGGCTAGACTCTAGAGAAGTAGGGGAGATGCATCTAGGGTGACTAGGGAGGTCAGCTAAGGCAGTTCTCAACTCCTAGCCACGTGAAATTGCAGTACCCCCACCTTCAGGACTTCGAGAGCCATTCTCAATACCTGAGGGGCGAATACATTCTCAGCACACAACAGCGTGCAGGCATCGTGCTGGGCAGTGAGGGTTGTGCATAATAGGACAGGCCAAGTGTCGACTCATTCAGGAGGCAGTTAAGCGAAATAAAACTCAGAGAGCAGGTCCTGAACAGGTCATCAAAGATGCAGGTGAAGAGAACTGAGAAGAGAAATTCAGGCACAAGTGGGGCAGGGACAGGGCTGAGCCAAGGAGCGTCCTTAAACAAGCTGCAGAGAATGAAAAGGGAGTCAGTACTCCCTGTGGGTGACTAGCCCTGAATAAAGGCTCTGAGGTGGGTGTAAGCAGAATGTGGTGATAGAAAAACCAGCAGTCTGACTTGATGGTATATGTTGACCAGAAGAGGCCAGGAGAGCCGTTGGGCTGGAGCACGAAAACATGACAGAATGAAGGCTGTTGCCTGTGCCCTGTAGACTAAGTGGAGTCAACACAGATTTTTTTTTCTATAATTATATTTTATTAATTTTCATAAACATTTACAGAGATTTTGGGTTTCCATTCATTCATTGTTCAACACAGATTTTAAAGCAAGGGTGTGGCATGGCACCAGTGGAGTTTTGAAGCATTAGGCTTATCCCTGCCTTTGGAGGGATTTAGAGATAGGGAAGGAGGTAGGATGGCTGGTATCCTCACTCCTTCCCAAGCAGAGCTTCCATCCCACAACCCATCCTAGCCCAGCTCTTTGTTCTGGTCTCCATAGTTAGGGACCATCACCAGAAACAGACATCACTGCCACCCTCCTGGCAGGTCTCAGAGGCTCTTCCCCAGAGAGGAGCAGATTTTCTGCAAGCATTTATGTTCCAGAGCCTCCAGGTCATGATGCCTGGGAGCCAGGAACCCCTGGAGGCCATCTAGGCCAACCTTCCTATTGTACAAATTGGGAATCTGAGGTCCCAGAAAAGAAGTGAAGTGCTCTGAGTCCCACAGAGTGCCCGCTGTTCAGAGAGCCCTTAGACCTGCTCTGAGGGAACTTGAGCCTGCAGGGAGGGTTCGACTCAGGCTGTGGTGATATCAAGGTCCTTTCTGAACCCCACAGGAGGCCTTTGGCGGAGGAACAAGCCTTAGAGGAGACTGGATTTGAGTGGTCCTAATGAATGGGCAGAAGTGAAAAGAGAAGTTCTTTCAAGCATAGAGAACAGCATGAGTAAAAACCAGGAGTTGAGAATGGGCATGAAGCATGCTGGGAAAGTGGATCCTGAATCTCATCTCTTGCCTGGCATCGTTGACTCTGAAAGTAGGGCTCAGGCTGGGGTGTTGGGTTGAGGGGGTGCTTTAGAGCAGGGCTGTGGGTAATCAGGTACAAGGAATTGTACCAGAGTTTATTCTGCTGCCTTTCAGGATGGTTTAGGAGGCTCCTAGTGGCTACAGTGGGCTAAGTAAAGGATAGTCAACTAAAAAGGTCTGAAGTTTGAACCCATCAGTCCCTCTGTAGGAGAAAAATGAGGTTGTAGAGTCCATAAAGTTTTACAGCTTCAGAGTCCTGTGGGGAAGTTCTACACTGGCTTGCAAGGAATCAACTGCAGTGGGATATGATACTGTGGGTAAACTGAGCTTGTGTGTGTGCGCGCTCGCACACATGCTGTTGTCCTAGGCCTCTAGGGCAGGGCAGGGGCCAGCACCCTTGACCCAGCCCACCCAGACTGTGGAAAAGCTGTTCCAGAACCAAGTATAACTGAGCCCCCCTCCCCACATCCGCCCGCCCAGACCAGACAAGAAGGTCTTTTCAGTGCTGCCTGCCTGGGAGGCCAAAGAGGGGGCTAGGTCAAGCCAGGTGGGCCAGGCGATAGGAGTGGGGCAGTGTGGGGGGGGGGGGTGGAGGCACGTGTTGAGCTAGAAAAGGAACTATATAGGCTCCATCTGGGCTAGCTGCCCAGCAGGGGGCAGGCAGGGAAGGGGGAGTTGGAAATAGCCCTGACATACACTCTCCCTTTGAGTACAGAGTCCTTGGGTTCACACAAGTAGGGCAGGCTGCACAGCCGTTCTCGCAGCCCAGGACTTGGGCCTTGCCCCTTGCTCTCCAGTCCCCTGGGCTGGGTGGCGCCTGTCGGGCTGGGCAGAGCAGTATGGGGCGGGGGGGCGGTTACTGTTCTCTGCTTTGGCTCCTTTGCAAACAGCAAGTGGAGACCCAGACCTGGTGGTTCTTCTATCTGCTCCCTCCAGGTCCCTCTGCCCTGCCTACCACTCCCCCAACTCCTGCCCCCCTCCAGCTCTCCTGTCACCTCCACCATGACCCCTGCCCAACACATGTCTAGCTCTGTAGAGCCTTCCAGAGTAAGTATTCTTCCTTCAAACACAGGCTTAGAGTTGGGTTTCAAAATCGCTGTTGTTGTTAGTTGCTATCTAAATCTGATCCAACTCTTAGCAGCCTCATTTGTGCAGTGGAATTCCACAGGGTCTTTTTAGAAGCAGATTGCCAACCTTGTCTTCCTCGGAGCTTCTAAGTGGGTTCAAACCATCAACCTCTTGGCAAGCAGCCAGGTCCTTGACCATTTCTAGCTGCCAGGGGCTCCTTAAATGACTGTCAAACCCTTGAAATTGTATGAACGACTTTGTGCACAGTCACCTCTTGGGAAGGGCTCCTAGTTCCCTCCAACAGGAGAAGAGTTGGCACTGTATCATAACTCAACTCCTGCCATCAGCGTGGAGACCCCTCAGGTGGTCCTGCAGCTTCAGTATACCTTCAAATCAGGAAATATTTTACAAATGAAGAAACTGAGGCTCAGAGAAAACTCAGGGACTTGTTTTTATGCCCAAGAACCATCATACTCTTACCCCCACAATAACTGACTTTTCCAGGTCATCCCAGTGGGCAGCCACCCACCAGTGAACCTTAATGCCGCCAACAAGAGAGAAACAGGTCTTCAGGCTCCCTGACTTCCTGAGGATTACACTTCTGTTCTGCTCCCCACACCTGCTCCCAGCAAAAGGGCCACCCATGCCTCTCCCAACCCACCCCATTTTCACACAGCATAAGCAGATCTTCTCTTCAAGAAGTCTCCCACACCCCCTCTGACAACTGTGTGGCAGATGGAGCCATGTTTGTCTCAGATATAGGATGGTGGCTCTGGGGGCTGCCGGAGCCAGAGGCTTGTTGGCATGGTTCACCCACACTCTGGAGGTGGCACGAATGGGCCGGGCCAGGGACAGTGCCTATCCTGTTGACTATTCCTTCTTCCCGCTCTGCTCTTGCCCACGCCTGGGCTGGCTCCCAGCCTTACGAGGAGCCAACTCTGGTGTGTATTAGCCAAGTCTCTAGCCGCTGCTCCTACTGGACTGTTTGAGCCTGGGTTCCTTCATGGTCCAAGAACCATGGGGTGTCAGCAAAGCTGCCTTCTCTCTCAGCTTTTCTAATGGAGACACCCCCCACTCACCCATCTACTCAGGCTAGCCTCCAAGGTTCAAAGGCAAACAGGGCCTAGAGATGGGTGGCCACTTGTGCAGAGTCATATAGTAAGCCGTTAGCAGAATAGGGCCTAGACCTCCCTGGCCTTTGCCCTCATGCCCTGGTTTGGGTCATCTCCCATGGGACCATCTACTTTTCTCAGGGGTCTCTACCATCCTGCTGAGCCCAGGGCTGGGTCCATAGAGGGGCACAATGTGCCCTTTTCAAAATGTACCCTTAGAGCTTGCCATGACTTTGTACCTAGAGGAAACTGAGCTGAGAATAGGGGACACCTGCTCCCCAGCCCTAATTTGTGCACAGCCATTCCACAAACATCTTTATAGATTGGGATTTTGTGTAAAACGTGGTTTTGATAAAGGGGGCTATGACTTTATACTTTGAAAAAAAAACCCAAAACCAACAACCAGCAACTTTGAAAACTGGGGAAATTGTTTTGAGTTGAAACAAATTGAGATGAGGGGAGATACAAGTAAGAACTTTGTGGCTTCCAAAGAATCCAAATCAGGGCCAATGCCAAGGGACCCCAGAATATGCCCCTCCCTGAATAGATCAAGGCTTAGGAGCCTGAAAGCAGGGACAAAACCCAATTCCA